TTTCCCTATGGAAGTGTGAACGATTGGTACGTTTTTCAGAATATGTAACATTACACAACATTATTACAGTCCAAATCTAGTGTTTTATCTGTTGTTGTTTTTTTTTTTTTTCTTGCATGCAGGGTACGTCTCCTAGGAGCCTTGGAACACCAGGATGTTAGGAATGTTCTTGTTCAGGGGCATATTTTTCTCAACACTTCTCTCACTGAGGCCTTTTGTATGGCAATTGTAGAAGCAGCAAGCTGTGGTTTGCAGGTAAAAAAAAATACAAGTATCTCAACTATCTAGAATGCATGTATCCAATTTAAACAAAGTTCATGATTAAATAATAAGTGCTTGCACGCTTTGATTTAATCAGGCTTTGTCTTTGCAAAATGCAGGTTGCCTTTCCAAAATGCTGTTTCGTATGTACGCATTCACGAGAGTTTTGGGGTAGTTGATGTTCATGGAGGTTCACTTTGACACTACTTTAAGAGTTGTAGAAAAGTGTTGCATGAGCATGGCTTGACTTTGGTTAATCAGGCATACTGAATTGCCAAACTCAACTATTGAAAAGCCCTTTGTGGCTAATTTACAACTCAGGTCGGCAACTCTAACAAGTTAAATCAACAGATACAAAGAACTGAGACTCTCATGTTAAAATCTAAAGAAACTTTTAAAAAATACAGACTGATAAGAATATCTGATATACAAAAAGTCTAGAAAATGTGAGGGATTTTTTTTTTACCTTCAGTATCTTCTGATAGTTACTACCTAGTTGTGGTAGTTGCTCCCTGCTCGTCAGTTTCCCCCTCTAGAGGTTGGGAAGTTCTGCAGTTTTCATATTGTTGCCTGACATTTAGAGATGGTTGCGTAACCTGAGTCTTAGTTTCTGATTTCCCTTTAAAAATAATTCAGATTAAAATTACTGAACTTCTAAATAAATTCTTGTGAATGTGAATAGCACAGAAAGGATTAACTGAAGACAGATGTAGTAAAACTGTCCTCTCCAAGTACAAGTTACTGTTTCCAAGAGGGGCTATGGAGAAAAAGTCCAAAATCTGGTAAAAAGATGTAGTTGTGTACTGTGAAAAACACCTTTAAAAAAGATGTCTCAGAAGCCACATAAGTGTTCCGTCTTACCATGCTACCAGAGAATCATTCTGATCATTCTTAAAGGTGATCTGCTACACTAGGTCTTTTCTAGGACCTAGACCTTTAGTTTGCTTACAGGTAAAATTCCCAAAACATGTAACCACTAATTGTTTTGTTGGGTTTTTTCCTGTTCTTCTAAAGTGCTGCATCTAAACAGTGCAGTAACAGTGCTGCCAGTATTTTCTTGTTATGCAGCATGTGTGCTGTTTCTTTTGTTTCTTTCAAAGGTGGTGAGTACAAGAGTTGGTGGGATTCCTGAAGTGCTTCCAGAGGATCTCATTATTTTATGTGAACCCTCTGTGAAGTCTTTGTGTGATGGATTAGAAAAAGCTATTGCCCAGCTGAGATCAGGAGCACTTCCATCTCCAGAAACTGTTCATAATAAAGTAAAGACATTTTATACGTGGAGGAATGTAGCAGAAAGAACTGAGAAAGTATGTATAACTACTTTTAAATTCTCTTCAAGTGCATTTCTGAAAGAGCTGCTTTTTTGAAACATCACTGTGTACATTCTCTATGTAATCTTTCATTGTACTTTTTCAGTGTGTTTCTTGTCCAGCACACATGGTTTAAAAAGGTTCAGAAAGGGTTTTTACTTTTTTTTTTTCCAAATACATCCCTAGATAGGTGTTTCTTTCTATTTGCATTTTTTCTATGTCAGAACTGCCAATAAATATTCTGAAGAGCAGCCTAGATATTTAGTTACATTTCTAACTGTGTTTTTTCCAGTCTTCATGTTATGTAACTTTTCTGGCATAACTGGAAAACATGCTGTATAAGAGGTATGAAAAGGAAAAGACAGAATTCATACTGAAGTTTTACCTGCCACGTGCTAACAAGTGGTTTAAAGTTATGATAGTTTAATGCTGGCAGGCTGAACATAGCAGAAATTATGTCAGCTATGGATGTAATGAGGATAAATTGTCACACTTCTGAAATCAGATTTCAGGATTAGAACTGGGGTTCATTGTAAAAACTCTGCCATTATTGAAGAATGTTACATGCAATGTTATAAATGCCTGTGGAGATCTGTCACTTTTCACTTTGTCCCCTTTGTTTTAGGCAAAAGAGTAGCTGAATCACAGGCCTCTTAATTACATTGTAGTGTACTCAGATGTGTATCTCTTATGATTGTCTTTGAAGTATCATGTGCAACCAGTTTCTTTTGTTGTTGTCAAGTGCCATGAGTACAATTCATGTTATGATTTTGTAACTGCAAGCAGCATTTCAATGGCAAAGTTTTTACGAAAGTTAGTCTAGATTTCAGTTTCCTTTGTAGCCCTTTCTTAAAAAAACAAACACAACAAAACCAGCCTTGATGAAGGAAAATGTAAGTATAACTGGAAGAAGTACACATGGAACTTATTTCTACTTAATGAAGTACACTTTAGGTCTGTCAAAAAAAGTAAAATTTACCTTAATTAAATCAACGAAATTTCTAGAGCAGTTCTCATAAATCAACATTTATGATCTGTAAGACTTTGTTGGGTGATATTTCTCCCATCTAGTCGCTAGGAATAGGTAATTTATTTTACATGTTGACAACAAGGTACTCTCTGATTTTTGAGGTAGAAGCAACATAGTTTTAAGATCTTACTTTCTGTCTCTTCTCCTTTTAGGTGTATGACAGGGTTGCAGGTGAAGTAGTTTTATCAATGGATGAACGGCTTACCAGACTCATGTCTCATTGTGGCCCAGTGACTGGGTGTATTTTTTCTCTTTTTGCTGTTCTGAACTTCCTTTTCTTGGCGTTTCTGAGGTGGATGACTCCAGATTCCATTATTGACGTTGCAATAGATGCCACAGGACCTAAAGGTGCATGGACTAAACAGTATTTTTTGGGGAAAAAAAGGAAGAGTTAAAGAAGAACTTCCAAGCTCCTAAAATTCTCAAATGGAGACGAAAGGATGCATCGGTGTTCTAAAGGTTTTGATGCTTCTTGATAGAGACATTATTCTGAATATTCTTCCATTTCTTTCTGGAGTTCTTGGAAAGAAACTTGGTTAAATGTGCTACCTCAATTTAGGATTATGTTTTAACTTAGTTTTGGATTCATGCAAATTTTTGGACCTCTTTTTTGCACTTAGAGCCGAGAGAAGAATATGGATTTTTATATGTGTCAAAAGCTTTTGAGACAAAAAGATTTTTCTCAATAACCTGAATATTATAGAAAGTGACTATAAACTTTAGCAGTATTTGGGGAAACTAAACACAAAAACTATTAGCTTGCAGTAGTCCCTGCCTGATTCCTGATACTTACTATAATTTTTATTTTGAGACCTATTTAAAAATAGGTCTCAAACCCAACAAAACTCATTTTTTATCTCCTAAGATGAAAACGGCACTTGAAATTAGTCATGAAGTCCATTACCAGAGCAATTTCAGAGCCCTAGTATTAGCTGTGTTGTTCTAGTGACAGTGTTTTGCCTCCGTAACGTTATTAGTTTGTTCTACCCTCGTCAAAATAAGATCATCCTGTTGCTAAATCAAAACTTTATAATTATTTTTTTTATAGTTTCAGAGGTGCTAAATTTCTTCTGTTCACTTACATGTGTGAAAGCCATGTCAAGGTTATAGTGTTTTTTTAAAGTATATCGGGGAATAAATTACATTATTTAGAGATAATGCAGCCTTCAGAAACAGCTCAGGCCTGACTACTCCTCCAGCAGACTATGCCAAAGTGTGAAGTAACACATGTGTGCACGTGGGAGAGAGACAGTAACCTGTGAAGGGCTTAACAAGCATCATTGTGCTCACTTGCCCTCTCTCCCCTCCCCCTTGTTTTACTTATTTTTTTGTATTCTTTTCCATTCCCCTTTCATATGACCAAAATGGCCTTTCAGTCCATCTCTGGGAGACACAGTGTTTAATGTGCGTGATTTCACCTAGACCACATCAGCGACACTGTCAGGCAGGTTCTGCATGTCAAATCTTGGGAAGATGTCACTTAAATGGAAATAATCAATAGGTATTACTTTTGTGGAGAGAGAAAAAAAATAAAAATAAGTGACTCTGCATCTGTTAGCATGCCTAAGAAATCTATACCTGGGACAACAGGCAGCACGACTTATGAATGAATGTATGAGTTAGTTATCTTCTTTATACCAACCACCTCTAAAATTCCCCTCTGCCTAATGCATTAGGCTAATTTCTTTTTCAAGCATCACTGAAGTTTAAAAATATTATTTTGTGACTGAGTGTTATGTAGTGTTGGACACTATTAATATTAAACCTGTGCAATATGGAAGTACTGTTTTCAAACCCTTGAAAGGCAGTATTTAAAGAAGACTTCTGTCAATTTCATCTTGTTTGTGTAGAGCTGTAGTTATTCTAACATCTGACATTTTATAATTTCATTGAACATATTTTCATGAAATACAGAAGTGAAATAAATGCCATATACAAAGTCTATTTTCTTTTACTAGAATTTTTAGCCTTTGATATATAACGTGCAATATGCATTGTATTACAATATGAGTTCTTCAAATTCTGCATTAAAAGTAGAGACCAGCTAAAATGGTGCCACACAGATTATGAATAAAGGGGTGGAATTAACAGTAACATTTTACTTTTCAGATTTACTTAAAAAGAAAAAAAAACAACTTTCAAGTTTCTAACAACTTTTTAAAAATACTGATTATCATTCCAGGGAAATTATATGTGTGTGTGTGTGTGTGTATATAGATACACATCTTTTGTTGATTCTGGTTTATTTCTTTTTGGTTTCTTGCAACATCTACAACCACAAAGCTAATTTTCAATGGGATTGTGAATCCATTAAAATATTTCTCTCCTTTGTGGAATACTGTGTACTTATGAATAACATAATGAAACATTGTTATAGTTTTGTTTATAAGACAAATGTACAAGTTTATTTACCTTTCTGTAATGAGTGGATATTTTCCATTGATATGTGGGAATATACAGTTAGAAAGTACAGACATATAGTCCATATTGATGCTTCCCATCACTGATGGTTGGATTTCTTATGAAAAAAAAATTATTAAAAAACATTTAATGAATTTATTTATTAAATTGTGTCCATATCTGGTTTAACTACAAAGATACTGTTTCTCAAAGAATGCAACCTGTATTGCTTATATACCCTTTATGGGACTGATTTACTTACTGGCTTTGTGCAGTGGAGTAAGGGATAATGTCACTCAATCAGTCACCATTTAAACAACATCAGTGGATGACTTGGAAAAGTTTAAATAAAATAATAGCAATAATAATAAAAAAGCAGAGATAATGAGTGTATTTTATGAATAGGTACTTAGAAACTAATAAAATAACTGCTTAAAAAATCTAAATATTTCAGTTGTGCTTATAGGTAACATTTGATCATTGTGAGATACTAAGGAAATGTTACCAAGGAGAGTGATACTGAATAATGCCTTGCATAAAGCAGAGCCTCCTCTGTGGAGGAGGAGGAAAAACCCAAAAACCTTCCATAAAGAAGCTCACCCTCTTTCCTAAAAGGGACCATTCTTCTGCAATGACATTCCATCCCACATGCGTAAGGAGAAATAGTGTTTCCAATACATTTTTTGCAGACACTGTGATTTAAGGTGTATAGACAGAGTGTTGGTAATTGAAAATTGTGTGTTAAATGGAAACAAGTATCACGTAAAGGATGAATATGACTCATCTTTCAGAGTGTGTAAGGGGATGTGGATAGATCTGTAAGAAGGTAAATACACTTTTAATGTACTTACTTTTGTGGTCAAGGTTTTCTGCATCTTTTAAAATAAACTTATTTTTTCCCCTTTTGATATTTCTCTTCATTAGTCTTTTTTAATATAAACAAATACTTATAAACAAGTAATTGTAAAAAGTGCATCTTTTTGATGCTCCAGTAAAATACAAATCTTATGTAAATAGATAGAAGAAGAATCAGCCTCAAAATACATGGTTTCACAGACTTTTAAAAATGTAAATATTTTTAATGTTTGATTTGCTGACATTAAATTACACTCATCATATTTGCTGCATATTTTTTATGGCACTAATTAGCATTTTAACTTTCACATTTTTCCTAATTACTTAGTTGGATAAAAGGTGGGTATTTTTTGTGAAAGGAACAAAAACTAGAGGCAAAATGTGTTGATAGATCTGAATTTACCATTGCACTGAAATGCATTTTTCATGTAAAGTTAACAGGCCCATTGGGTAGTTAGTAGACTCTGACCTGCTTTGACACTGGCATAACTTCTGCAGATTGTTTGTGTGGGGTTCACTGAACTTTAACTGTGCATAAGCTGGTTGTCTGGTAGACACTAGTTCTTTAAGCTTATTGTTTAAGTGGGAGGGACTGATGGCAGGCACTGGGAGGGACTGATGGCAGGCAGCTAGAGAAGTCATGCCCTGCTAGCACAGGCTTTGGAGGCAGACGGGGAAATTAATTTCTTGCTGGAGCTGGCTGGCTTCCTGCCCAGGCAGCAGCAGCAGTTTCAACAACTAGACCTTAGGTGATGTGCTGGGTGACTGATAGGTGAGAAGAATCCCAGGTCTGCTTGTGTGAGAGCAAGCAGCGAGTCACTATATACACCCCTTTGTCAAAGCAGGAGTGTTGTCGTTGTGCTGACCTAAGGACACAAATGAGGCTAGGCTTGTATGGGAAGTAGTGTCATTTATTAGATCAAACTGACAGAAAAAAAAATAAAGGTGACTAAAGATGTGACTCCAGCACATCTTTGTTCAGATCTGTTCCCTTTGAGATAAGGGTTTATCTTTTTTTTTGTTTATTTCCCAGTTGTCTTACTTCGAATATATTTGTTGTGCAAACTTTCAACCATACACATTAGAAATACACTGCTGTAACTTAAAGTGTCTAGCATTAGTATAGACCAATAACTTACTTTTGTTGAGAAGAGAATCTTCTTTATTTAAAGAAGAATAAAGAAGTAATCTTTATTTCTTTGCCAAATTCTGCAGGTCACACCTAACATTTCTCACTGTTGGCTAAAGTTAAGGTGAACCATAGTGAAAATCAGTTGCCTTCTAAGCTGGACTGCCTTTTGTTATGTGCTTATTCCTTGCATGTTTGTAAATTAAGGATATGTAAACATTAGGTTTTACATTGTGCTATATCTGTTCTGTATCTGCATTATGTTGCTCACCTTTCTTTAACTTCCAAAATATGAAATTTTTGTGAGTGATCACACCAGATCCTGCTACATCTTACCTGACTGCCACCTTCACCAGTATTAATACTTCTCAACTTTGCTGTTCAGTCATCTTCCCACTGTTTTGGAATTTTTTCTTTCTTAATCCAAGGCAGCAATTTTCCTAGTATTGTACATTATAAGCAGATTAAGAGATCACATGAATTTTCCTCAAATGACTCCATAATTTAACTAAAAATCTTTAGTTGTCTTGTTCTGAAGCCAGGAGGGTGATTTTGCTGCTACACAAATAGAACTTGTCCTTCTGGAAGACTCATGTTCTCATGACTGCTTCCAAATGGTCAAAATTCCTTTACAGATAAGAAAATCACCTCATCTCCAGTTTCTTGTATTTTTCTGAGGATTGTGGACTTTACAATTCTAAATACTATCTGACAGGCTGATTGTGAATGAAGGTCTGTTTTCTGTTCTGTCTCTTAAAAGGAGCTGTTTCTTCTTCCTTACATTTTGCTGAGTGCTAATTGTGTAATCATACATGAAAAAGATTTCTCCCTCATTTAGGCTGGTGATGCATTTATAACATCTTTTTCCTGTTTACTCTTTCTTCTTTGTATCTTCTGTTCTTTACACTTTTTGCTATTCCTCTGGCTTCAGGAGGAGTGTTTTTGTTATCTCATTATTTTCTAGGGCTAAATGATCATCCCTTTTTTGGTCCGTGTTTGCTTGCTAATCTCTCATTTTTGTGTCCCAGTTGAGCAAGCTGAACTCTTTTTGCTCTTAACATGTATTCTGTGTCTTCAGCTGTCTTGTCCTGTGGCAAACAACACTTAAGTGACTAAAAATAGGCATTTTTCCTCTTTTGGATTCATAGATGGTTTA